ACAAAATAAAATACAATGCAATACAATACAATACAATACAATACAATAAAATAAAATAAAATAAAATAAAATAAAATAAAATAAAATAATATTTTCTAAATGCTATTTTTTATTTTCTGTGTATGAGTGTTTTGTCTGCATGTATGTAAGTGCACAACATGCATGCAGTTCCCACAGAGGCCAGAAGAGGGTGTCACAGTCCCTGGAACTGGAGCTAAAGATGGTTGGGAGCTGCTGTGTGGGTGCTAGGAACTGAACCCAGGTCCTCTGGGAGAGTGATCAGTACTCAACCACTAATCCATCTCTCCAGTCCCTGAAGCCCCTTTTGATTAGAATGTATGAAGGATAGCATTCTTTGCCATGACTAAACTCAGTAAATAAAATAGAATAGACACTGAAGAGAAATGTTATTCATATCAGAAATCTCTCATTAGGAAATCACACCTAACAAAACATCAGTTAGGAAATTCTACAGAAAATCCCCCATGAGTATGAGGACTATAACAAATTCTTCTATCTTAAGGCAGAAATAAAGGTTCATGAGGAGATCCACCGAGGGACAAAATTCTATGAATGTGAAGTTTGTTTGGAAGCATTTTACCTGAAGTCACAGTACAGCACAAATCAGAACTATCACACATGTGAGAAACCATATGAATGTAAGGAATGTAAAGAAACATTCTGTTATAAGTCTACCCTCAGACAGTATCGGAGACTTCGTAGAGGTGAGAAACCCCATGTGTGTATAGAATGTGGAAAAACTTTCTACTGCAAATCACATCTCACTGTACATCAGCGAACTCACACAGGCGAAAAGCCTTATGAATGTAAAGAATGCAAGAAAGCATTCTACAGCAAGTCACAGCTCAATGTACATCTCAGAATTCATACAGGTGAAAAGCCTTATGGATGTAAAGAGTGTGGGAAAGCTTTCTACCGTAATTCTGACCTCACTGTACATCAAAGGACTCATACAGGTGAGAAACCATATGAATGCAAAGTATGCAATAAAGCTTTCTACTGCAATTCACAGCTCACTGTACATCACAGAACTCATACAGGGGAGAAGCCTTATGAATGTAAAATATGCACTAAAGCTTTCTACTGCAAGTCACAACTTGCTGTGCATCAGAGAACTCATACAGGTGAGAAGCCCTATGCATGTAAAGAATGCAGGAAGGCTTTTCAGTGCAGGTCAGACCTCACTCGACATCGGAGAACTCATACTGGTGAGAGACCATATGAATGTAATGAGTGCAGGAAAGCTTTCTACCGCAAGTCAGACCTCACTGTACATCAAAGAACTCATACAGGTGAGAAGCCTTATGAATGTAAATTATGCAGGAAAGCTTTCTACTGCAACTCACAACTCACTGTACATCACAGAACTCATACAGGTGAGAAACCTTACATATGTAAAGAATGCAGGAAAGCCTTCCAATGCAAGTATGAACTCACTCGACATCAGAGAACACATACAGGTGAGAAGCCTTACATATGTAAAGAATGCAAGAAAGCTTTCTACTCTAAGTCAGATCTTACTCGACATCAGAAAACTCATGCAGGTGACAAACCTTTAATGTAAAGAATACACTTAAAGCTTACCACAGTAAGTTAGTCCTTAACTGGAATCAGAAAATGCATATACAAAAGCTTTTTACCATAATTCAGACCCTACTCAATATCAGAGAATTCATACAGCTGCAAGAAACCATGAATGTAAAGAAAATAAGAAAGTCTTCTACTTCAACTCATCTCTTTGTACATACCTGTGAATCTGGGAACTGTAAGAAAATTTTGTGTGATCAGTCAAACCTCCCTTGACATCACATATTACATACAGCTGAATTACTTTGAATATAAAGTATATTGTAACAATTGTTTTTTTTTTCCCATAAAGTACACTCATTGGGCAGGAAAGATCATACATTTAGACTTTATAAATGTAAATAATATAGAAAACTATGATACCTAAGTCAGATCTCAGTCTACATCAGAAAACTCAAAAGTGTGAGGTCAGTTACAGCTTTTCATCCCAGCCCATTTGGGTGATCTTGGTAGAGGTTCATTGGACTCAACGTGAGCAACAGAGCAAGACAACTATCAAGGAAAAAAAATGTAGGGAAGGCAGCCATGGTGACATATGCCTTTACTTCCAGCACTCAGAAGGCTGATGCAGACAGATCACTTTGAGGCCAGCCTAGTCTACATAGTGAGTTGCAGGACAACCAGGGCTACATAATGAGACCATGTCTCAAAAAAAAAGCAAAACTTGAAAATTTTCTCCTGGAAATGTTCTTAAATGACTACAACCCATATTGGTGTTAAACCATAAGGAAATATAGAATGTCAAAAACTTTAAAATAGTACTTGCAACTCAGCTGGCATCTGGAACCTCACAAAAACATGATAAAGCATATATAGTAATATATGCTGCCATATATCACCAGACTTTGTATCAAAGATTCATACTAAAAATACTATAATCTAAAGATTATAGAAGAGGCCAGTCTGCTACATGAACACATTTGCATTTTAAAAATTAGTTGGACTGGATATGTGGATGCATTTGCCAAGCACATATATTACCTGTTCTTTTATATTAGAAAGTTCTTATAATCTGGATTTTCAACATTCATGCTTATTAATCAACCTTTGGAAATAGAAGCAGTCATGGAGAAATTGTAACCAATTGGTAGTGCTTCATTGAGCACTGTCAGTGAAGTGACACTTTTTTTTTTTTGAGACAATGTCTTGATATGTAGGCCAGACTGTCTTTGAACTCCTTGTATCCTAGGCTATTCTCATATTTGTGATCATGCTGTTTCATTTTGTACAACCGTATATTTCTTCAGTGAGTAAAAGTTTCAGTTAAATTCTAAATTTTTGTACATAGTAAGTTTGGGGGAACATTTAAATTTATGTAACATGCATGTTAATTTCCAAATGGAATTATTTAATATGGTGTTTAAAACTTTAAGTATTCTATTATATACTAACAAATAAACATAATGATATTTCCAGTAAGTGTATATGAAGCTATTTCTTTGGGTATTATTGTTCTCATAACTGGAGATTTGGAATAGTTACTGAATGTGGCAGACAGAAGTCAAAGATGCTAATAAACATTAGATGGTGCACAGTTAGATCCCACAATGTGTGCTTTTTTCCTCTGTGTTAGTATTTTGTGTTACAAGTTGATTTTTAGAGCACTTGGCATAACTGTACATGTAATATGTACACTTTGTATAACAAATACTGGTGGATAAAGGTGGAAGTCTCCCTCAGTGGTTGGATACATGCCTTTATCTGTACATTGTCCTGACTGAAATCTCCAGTATGCATAAATTGGATAGATGGATGGATAGGTAGGTAGGTACATAGGTAGATAGATAGATGATAGGTAGGTAAGTAGGTGGTAGGTAGAGAGATGATGATGATATAGATAGATAGATGATAGGTAGGTAAGTAGGTGGTAGGTAGAGAGATGATGATGATATAGATAGATAGATGATAGGTAGGTAAGTAGGTGGTAGGTAGAGAGATGATGATATAGATAGATAGACGATGATGATAGATGATAGATAGATAGATAGATGATACATAGAAAGATAGATAGATAGATGATAGATAGAGTAGGTGGTAGATAGATAGATGATAGAGAGATAGAGATGATAAATAACTATGTCTTACTATATGAGTTATCTTTTTCACTGTAACCAAATATCACACAGAAACAAATCAAGTGTTGAAGTATTTATTTTGGATCATGGTTTCAAAGCCAATGGTTACTTGGACCCACATCATGAAAATGTGGAACCAGACTAAAGAAGAGTCTGGATACTAGATTTAATCTTACAAAGTAAGATCCTAATAATGACTTAATCCAAGTAGAGTCTATCTCCCCAAATATTGCCAGAATTTGAGGGTCAGTCACTCAGCATAAGGCCTATGGGGGACATTTCATGGTAAAACCAAAATACACTACAAATTTCTACCTTTTGTCAATTCTATTCCATTTATAAATTATGTTGCCTTTATCTTACTATGTGTTTTTTTCATTCTAGCATATATGTGTACAAACATTATTGTGAAACCATTCCATAAGTTAGAGTAATAATTTATTTCTAATGTCACCAACACAAAGCCAGCCAGTGTGTTTTAGCAGAGGCATTTTTAATATAGGAATACAGGAATTAGGTATTCCCAGCTGGCAACTAACAGTTCTCATTTCATCCTGTTAAGTGAAATGCTGTCTTTACAATTATTCCTCCTCTGTTCCTACTCCTCAAGTATTTAAGTAGGACAGAAACAAAGATGAAGGCATACTTACTATATGTTCTGTTCTGAAGAGTATCTACATTTCCTTTCCTGGTGATAGACTGCTAGGAGTGTGTCTTGTGCAAAATTGGTAAAATGGCCATGTGTTGATGGGAAATTGGTATATTTGTGGCAGTCCTAGTGTTTGGGATTTCTGTGCTTCTGTTTCTATATATTTCAAAGGGACATAACACTTGATGCTGCCCAAAAGTGTCATTAAATGTGGTGAGTTAGGATGTTTTGGATATTAGGTTGCATGCAGTGTGCAGCAATGAAAATGACTATAATTTATAAAATTACTCTTACTTATGGAGACAAGGTTGCCTCAGGATGCTTGTGTGTGAATCCAAAAAAGCCTTCTCGTTTTAATTTGTTGCAATTTGGTTTTGTCACCCCATTCTACAGAGTTATACAGAGTTATTTGGAAATGTGTCCTTTTTGAGACAGAGTCTCCCCATAGCCCCAGCTGACCAGGAACTCACTTTGTAGACGAGGCTGGACTTGTACTCACAAAGATCTGCCTGCCTCTGCTCCCCAGCTGCTGGGATTAAAGGACCCAGCTCTGGAAATTTATCTTGATTGGGACTTTTATACCTAGCTTTTACTAATGTTTCTTCTAGTGTGTGTGTTCATTTACATATTAGGATGATTCTGCAAGTGTGAAATATTCCCCAAAAGACAGACATAGCAGAGATACTTTGTTAGGACATTTGTGGGTGTGCATATGTAGGTGGGTTGAATATGGTGCCCTCATATGAGATGTCTATGCTTATCATTAAAGAGTGTATAGCCACTGTGAATGCTGTTTGAAGGTCTACTGATACTATATTCCATAAACTACTACTTGGGGACATATATGAAGTGCTTTAGGTTCCCTTTAGTGTGTGACGAGTTAATGACCATTGTACCAGCTCCAATCAACATTTTTTTTTTACCATCCTATAATTTGAGTGTATTAGGAGACAGTCCTCTGAAGCTTCCAGTGTTGCCAAATGCAACTAATGGAACATAAATCTCAAATGGGAAGGTATGTACAGATGTGTGGTACAAAAGTAGTTAGCTAGATTTTATGAAAAACTAAATGGGAACACAGAAAGGGAGTTGATTGTGTAGCAGAAACATTTTCAGTTAGAGCATAATGAATGCATAAAGACAAAAATTTTAAGACCATTATGGTGATATAATTCTGTTCACAACTCAAGCTTTCAGTATTGTCTCTTTGTTTTGTACATTTAGTGTTTTTACTGTGATGTGATGTGGAGAGTTTCCCATTTGAGCCTGTCTGTTTGGTGTTCTATATGCTTCTTGTATTTGTATGGGCATGTCTTTCTTTAAGTTTGGGAAATTTTCTTCCACAATTCTGTTGAAGATCTGATCCATGCCATTGTCTTGGGATTCTTCTCCTTCCTGTATGCCTATGATTCGCAAGTTTGGTCTTTTTATGGTATCACTCAATT